CCCAACAAAACCTGTGCCAAGGTATTTAAGTTGCAGTCTCTGGAGAAAGGGAACTCCTTTGGATCAGGCGCGGAAAAGCAGTGTCCCGCGGAATACAGGACCAGGGGATGGCTAAAGAGCCATCTCTTTAGCCGTAGAGTTAGCCTTCCTCTTCAAACCCTCGGCTCCTTCCAGGAGAACCTTGGGCTATAACGCGTAGGACTGGCCGGCAGAAGCGGAGCGGGCAGTGGAAAAGCGGCCACCCCAGCAAAGCCCCCCCGTCCCCATCGCCGCTCATCCTCCCTTGAGTTATTTCCCCCTGCCTGCGTGACTTCAGAAACGAGCCGTCACGTCTGCCGCGTAAAATGTGTTCTTGTTCTGCCTGCTGAAATTTTGTGAGAGCCAGGAGTCGCAGTGAGGCTTTCTCCGTCAGGCAGGGCGAAATCTATGCACCAGTATATAGAGTGAGCACACCCGGAGGAGTGAAGGGGGCAGTGGTGGATAAGGTTAGGGTAACGGCTTCTTCCAGGGAGGGAGAGGTTTCCAAAATTTATTCTCGATTTTGCTTTGTCAGAGTAGAACCGTGAATTCCAACTTTCGGGCCATTTCAAGAATAAGGCCAAAAGCTGTTAAATGTGCTGGCTAGCATAGCAGCCGCTAATATTTTATGGTCTGAAAATTGCATTTAAAATTATGTAAGCTTAGTTTGAGATGTGCTGACTTTCCTACAATAAGGAAAGCCCAGACCAGAGGCTGCACTGAACAGACCAAGATAAAACGCTGCCAGGTAGCTGGACACAACTTGTCTTCCATCTGAGCAACACTGATATATCATCTATATCTATATCTATATCTATATCTATATCTATATCTATATCTATATCTATATCTATCTATCTAATCTCTCTCTATATATATATATTCACTCAGGGGTAACCTGAAGAGAAATGTATTCTAGTTCTTCTTGACTATAAGCCTTCCCCCGAGCATTTGAGATGCACTATGCTGGAGTATGATAAGTTATACTGACAAAATATTTGAAGGATATCCTGAAAAGTTAGGACATGGATAGGTTTTCTCTTCTGAATGCAGAAAAATTTGATGTTGGAAGCAAGAAGTAAGAAGAACTGAAAATACTTTTAATTGTATACATATGCCTAGCAGCTGGCATGCTACCAAACAGGGAATCCTCACCATTACCAGCTCTGTTTGAAAACTGGAGGAAGGATTTCAACATTTTCATGGAGCTGGGGATCTCTCTCTCGCTTTCTAGTTTCCATCTTCTTCTGTCTTCTCTGAAGCAATTCATTCTACCATAAAGACAGAGCTGTCTCAAGGCTTCTAATTACTGTAAGCTAACCCAAAATTTGTATGGGAAAGGAGCAAAGGAAAGGAGAGGGCAGAGCAGCTTGGGGTTTGGAGGAAGAGTGGAGAACAGCATGGCAGAAAGCGTGAGTTGTTGAGGGTTTTTTCTTGCCTCCAGCTTGCAGCCTTCTCATGGCCTGCCTTCCTTCCTCTGGAGGCTGTATTCTCTCTCCTCTCACCCTGCAAAGGTGTCTTTGCAGCCATCTATACATTTTCATCCTCATCATCTGGCAAGAGGAACCCCTGTGTTCCCCCCTTGCTGGCAACCTGTATTGGGCCATGGCAACTGCTGACATTGCCAGTGCTTGAAGTTAGCTTTGCTTAAACAGTGAAGATTGGGTTAGTAAACAGAGCTTAAGTGCATGGATGTAAATAACAGTGCTGCCTACTAGGACCACTGCTCTGGTCTTTAACGAGAATTACCATTTTCATCAAGTTCCTCGGCTTGGACTTCTTCCAGTTCTGCTGAAGTGTAGTCAGTTTATTACGAGCAACAAGTGGTTCATTATAAATTATGAAAATCTTGGCTTCCAAGTCTGCCTTTGTAAGCAGTGAGCACTTCAGTATAGTATTTCAAATGGGAGGCTCCAATGCATCTATTGAGGGTTGTGTGTTTTGTTTTTTTCTTTTTAAAGAGTGGCAAAAGGGAGCTGTAGTACTCCACCCATTTGCTTGCAGAAACTCTCTCTGTAAAGTGAAGTTAGTTATGGGTCCAGCTGGGAAGAATTCAGCCATCGCAGTGGAATGACATCAACACAGGCACCTCTAAGACTTCTATATGAACTAGCAGTTAGTGAATGAACTTTTCTTGGGGATCACAAAATTCAGCTACAGAGAAATATGAAATACTCAGACCCTGAGGAAGGGCTAAGCAAGGGAGGAGTTTTCTCGGAAAGAACAGGCATTCTTGAGCCTGACAGAAGAACTGGGTTTCTTAACACCTTGTATCTGCTCAACAGCTATATTGGGACAAAGCAAATTAAAGCCAGCTTTTCTGCATTAATAACACATTATTTATCATCAAACCATGCTAGTTTGTGACAGGCTGAAAATAAAGAAAAGGAGATGTTTCCTCATACAACATGTAGTTAAGCTGTGGAACATCCTGAGGCAGAACATTGTGAATTTTATATGGGTTCAAGGGAGGACTAGGCACCTATGGATGAGAAATCCACTGAGGTTGCTTCACATTACAGATACTGCCTCTGGTTTAAAGTCCAGGAGGTGCAACTGGTTGTAAGGGAAGAGACTATGAGGGACATACATGGTTGCCCTATTCTTGTGCTCTACCCTAGGCATCCACATTTGGCCAGTGTCAGAAGCAGGATTTTAGGCAAGGTGGACCTTTGGTCAGTCCAGGAAAGCTATTCATGTGTTCTCATCATAGTATTTCTTTATTTTGACACCTTATCATTTATCCATAGATTTGTAAAATTATCATTCCTCTTCAAATTTAGTACTGATTGAGTAATAACCCAGACAATACTCTGAAGGTAACTTTGTATATAAAGGTTAAGGTTTAAATATGTGCCTTCTGCTGTACCAGTAACCCAGTCTGGTATGGTCAGCTGGTGTCTCTCTGCAATATCTTGCACGTGGGATGACTCTGCTCTGTTTTCAAAACCTTCAGATATCTTTCTGTATGACTGCATACACCACAGAGCTTAGGCCCGTGACTCACTGTAATTTCCATATGTCTTATGAAAGTCCACACATCTTCTCCAAAACCTGAGTTAGCTACTTTAAAGCCAGGGTAGGTATCTTTATACTGTATTGTAAAATGTGGTTTACGTATATCCTAGTAAGTTGGCTCCATGTCAAAGTTGGTGTTCCATGCAGGCAAAGGTGAAAAGTGTCAAAGATTATGTTAAAACAAAACCACCCTTTGAATCTGGCATCAGAAGCAACAAGCTGTGTTTGAACTGTAGTGCTTAGTTAGCTAAAAAGGGATAGCTGTTACCTCTCATACACAAGAACTATGTCAATATGGTAAAGATGCCTCAAAATTATAGGAGTCATTGGTCCATTATGCAGTTTTTAAAGTGATGTTACCACTTATTTTCCCACGTTGCACACATACTTCTGTTTTTTCATGCTAGATCTTTAGCTAGCTTGTAACCAGGCTGTTTCACTGGATAGCATACTTATATTCAAAACTAAGCTCAGGAAAAGGAAAGCGGTTCTCTTTGCCCCGGTTTACACTGCCATTACAGTGTAAACCAGAGAGCTTAACCACATACATATCCTTGAATTGCTTGGCTTTTAAAGTTTAATCATAGGCCCTTTATTGTTGCACAGCTGAGGTTTCCATGTAATTGGAATGAAGGATATATGAACGGAGCACAACTTTCCCAATGGCAGCAGCCAGTAGTTAGTTAATGCCACTGACATCACTCCTGCCAAAGGAGAAAAATGGCCTTTTCAGTAATGTTTTGAGCACAGAATCAAGTCTTCTGGGTTCAGTTTCTGGCTCTGTCACAGACTTCTAACAATTTTGCATTCTTTCTGCATGTTTCCCAACTACAGATGGGAATAATAGTGCTTTTTGTTAAAGCACAGTTAAGTATTAGCTCTTTGTGTGGTGCATCACCCCATCTAGGTGGGGCCTTGCACATGTGACCATAAGGCACAGACAGCACAGTTCCTGCAGCCTTTGTGGGATCCTGCAGGAAAAAGGCATGTGATGAGCCAGTGGACTTGTCCCTCCTACTTGGCTGGGCTTTCCTGCATGGATGTAACCAGGAGACTCCTCTGGACCAGCAACCTTCTATTTTCTCACTCATCTGTCCCCTTGAACCATGGATTTTGAAATTCTCTGACATCCTGAGGGAAATTCAGACACCCACCCATAGGAAACAAATGAGGTTTTGGTGGTCATGGCACAAAGGGCAACGCAGGATCTGCAGGAGGCCCATGCATTTCAGAGTAGCCAAAGCTGAAATAGGACTTGCCACGTTGTTTAGGTGCCCAAATTGCTCCACCTGTCACATACAGACAACATAAATTTTGAGAGGGGAAAAGAGATCTTTCTAGGTTGGTTCCTTGGGAGAGCAATTAGCAAAGTGCCATTTTCCATAGCAGGCAGATTTGCAAGTCTTAGCTGGGTGGGTAATGCAGAACCATTGGTGACTTGTAGGTCACTTAAAGCTGCCACTTTTTGGCCATTACAAGAAGGAATTGATCCGGTTTCCTAAGGGTTTCTAAGCCTCATGAGTATAGTCTGTCTGTCCCCCTCTGCCTGGATCCCAACTTTTGAATGTGACTTTTGAATACATTGGTGGTTTTCAATCATGTTCTGCCTACAACCGGTAGCTAAAACGCAATTGCATTCCTACATGATAAATAAAAACAGAGCACTGTACAGAGTGGAATGACTCAGACTACTGCCCCACTGAGGGAAAAGCAGGTAAAACTCAGCTGTTTCCACCTTCCAGTTGGTAGCTCAGCATGGATGCTGGCTGACTCGTCTGTGCCCATCTTTCTAGAGACTGTTGGAAGCGTCAGAGGCAATACAGGGAATATCTGAGGCACTTCTATTCTGAGCAGACTGTTAAATTCTGTTCCACTGATGTCAGTGCTAATATTGCATGATTATACTTTGAAGATACTAAGATAACTGTGTATATTTCCAAATCTCTCTTTCTTGTTTTAGAAAAAAATAAAATAAAATGGAACACATGTTACTGCTATTCATATTTTTCATACCTATATTGGGTCTCACCAATGGAACAGAAACTGAGCAAGATTTTACTTGGCACTTGAAGAAAATTCCTCAGATTGTGAGCGAAAGAACTTTCTCCCTTGACAGCCCTAAATTTGAAGCAAAAACCAAATTAGAGCTGAACAGTGTATGTGGAATTGAATGTCAAAGAAAATTGCCGGTGCCAAACTTGTCTGACTTGAAGGACCTTTTATCCTATGAGACTGTTTTTGAAAACGGCACACGGACCCTGACTGAAGTGAATGTCCTTGGACTAGGGCTTGACCCAGCTGGAAACACAACTGCACGGAAGTCTTTGAGAAAGAAGAGGCAGATATATGGAACAGACAGTAGGTTCAGCATCTATGACAAGCGGTTTATGACCAACTTTCCGTTCAACACAGCTGTGAAGATCTCCACTGGCTGTAGTGGCATTCTCATCTCCCCCAAGCACGTGTTGACAGCTGCCCACTGTCTGCACAATGGCAAGGATTATGTTAAAGGCAGCAAAAGACTCAGGGTGGGCCTGATGAAGGCAAAATCCAGAGGTGAAGGCAGGAAACGCAAAGGTGCTAAAAGAAGTAGGAGAGAAGTTTCTACGGCCCAAGAGGATCCCGAAGTTGCCACAGAACTAAGGCGACAATCCAAAGGTGGTGGGAGAAAGCAGAGGAGATCTGGAAGGAAGCAGGGGACCTCAGATGGCATGCCCTCCTTCCAGTGGACCAGGGTGAAGAGTACCCACATCCCGAAAGGCTGGTTTAAGAGTGTCTCTGGGGATATTGCCCTGGATTATGATTATGCTGTTCTTGAGCTCAAGCGTCCACACAAAAGGAAATACATGGAGCTGGGAATCAGCCCAACAATCAAAATGATGCCTGGGAGCATGATCCACTTCTCAGGTTTTGACAATGATCGGTCTGGGCAGCTGGTCTATAGATTTTGTAGCATTTCTGATGAGTCCAACGATCTCTTCTATCAGTACTGTGATGCTGAGCCTGGTTCCACTGGATCTGGTGTCTATCTCCGTCTTAAAGAGCCGAACAAAAAGAAGTGGAAACGCAAGATCATCGCTGTTTACTCAGGCCATCAGTGGGTGGATGTCAATGGTGAACAGCAGGATTACAATGTAGCAGTAAGAATTACTCCTCTCAAATATGCCCAGATTTGCTTCTGGATACATGGGAATGATGAGAATTGCACACAAGGCTGAAGAGAGCTGAACCTGACTCGTTTAGCACCCGTATTACCATAGAGTGAAAGTCTGCCGCAGCAGTTACAGGAAGAACATCACTCCACGTCAGGATGTTTTCGAACTCAAAGCTTGAGGAATGCTGAATTGCTGAGGGATGGGTAGAATTGTCAAACAAAATATTTCTAATTGTAATCAACCCTAGATATGCACTTAAAATCCCAAACTATATTTATGTTTGCAATTGTGCTAAATTCAAATCATTCACATTAGAAAAAAAAATGACACCTGTTCATCATTTTTTTTTTTTACCAAGGGAAGGATTGAAACATCTCAAACTGGTATTATTAGACAATACCTATTTTTCCAATGGATTTGCTTTTCTCAGGGTTCTGTTCCAATTCTTCAAATGCAGGTTGTGCATGCAGCACATTACTGTATGTGCAGAATGATCCAGAGAACTGCATGAGACCAAGACATTATTTTGGCATTCTCTAAAGACCACAGCTCCATGTTGAGAAGCAGCAGTCTAGTTCATGCTTGTTAGTTTGGAAAACTTGCTCCTCTGGTTGCTGCAGGAACACTACCATGGAAATCCCAAATTTCTGTAGCTGAGGGTTAGACCTTAAAGACAAGTTTCACATCACTGCTCAGTAAAACCAGCAAAAGTAAATTAATGAACATAGAAGTTTCCATGTTTGGAAGAAGAAGAAACATCAGGATATAATTTAATGTGTTTCAATCTTATTTGAGAAGATATAGAAGTCTTAAACAAATGCATTTGCATTCCAATTAGTATTTGGAGAGCTGTAGGTTTAGTTTCTAGTCAAATGTTTAGCTTTATCATTGGGAGAAGTCACTGACTTCTGTAGTGACTATCTGACAATCATTTAGAGCTTCACAGATGATCAAATTTTTGGGTGCTAACCGTTTTTGCAGATTTTATAAATTACTTTTATATGAGTTCAGCTTCATAGATAGGATAGTATGTATTATACTGGGAGTTGAATAGCAGTATTTTAGTTTGGCTTCATATGGTTTTGCAAAATGGGTAGTTTTAATCATGCCATATTCAGACTCCACCTCAATGCGAGTTACAAGGTTAAACTAAAAATTTCTCCCAACTAACTTATACCACCTTCTGAATGGTAGAACTATCCTGTAGATTATAACAGGTATCGTTAGGTAGCAGCAGTAGTTAGCAAGTAATTGGTTCCATATGTTTGCTGAACCATATATTTAATGAACGCACAAAGTGAGCTTCACTTTTACACACCTTTAAACACAAATCACCTTTTTAAAAATTGTTGATTGCTACACAAGTCTGTATCTTTAATTTTATATAAAAATTTTGAAGCACACAGGATTGTTATGGTGCTACATTAATAACATAAAATGATACTGTGTATTTCTGATCATACCCTTCGGGTTTCAATACTTTTAAGATTATTCACCACCACAATATTTCATTTTTTTGACCATAAGTTTATGCTGACCAAAATACATTTTCTTCCTGTGCAGAAGAAAAAGTATAACAAGATTTAAAAATACTATTTGTTTGTTGGTATTTTTAAAATATACTTGTAATTTTGATGAAATAAGATCATTGTTAATAACCCACTTTTTGTAGGCAATTAAAATCATAAACCTGACACTTCGAATGTGCCGGCAACTTTCTGTCATATTATCACCAAAGCACAAAAATATAAGGCTTGCTTCCATAACATAACTCTAACAATATTTTGTTAATTGAAGAGATCTCACTTTAAAAGAAACTTTTAATGTCAGCATTTCCAGGGAACACTTAACTTTTTTTTTTTTTTTTTTTTTTTTTAAATTTTGTGTGATTGTTTGCAGAAAACTAATAATAATTTTTAAAGTTTAGAAATTAATGTCTAAGATTTTAAGGTTAATTATTTTTTATTGTCTTAACATCTCTATTAAGATGTATGGCTTCGCTGACAGTTATTTTAAATCACCTCAGTCCAGTATTTAATACTGTCACTCTATGCAGCAGGCCCGTAATGCTCTTTAGTTGGCTCTGTAATGTTTGTCTTAAGTGCCTTTTTCCATAGTTACTGTGACAAATAAGGTACCACATCATTAATCCAAAGGTACCAAAATGTTAATCATTAAACCGAGGTCCATGGGTTTTGTAACAATTATTCTCATTGTTGATTTGGGTCCAAAACTGATCAAGATAAGGTGGCTTAGTAAATTCCTTGTTTTAGTGAGTCTTATTTAGGTGTACTCCTTAGAAGCAGAAATACAATCTATTTCTTTATTAGTTTGGGAATCAGGGACAAGGTAGGAATGACAAATGTTGATGTCAGATTTCAAATGGTCTTGTTATAATAATCATCCACTATAAATACCTCAGTAATGACCTGAAGTTCTCAATACCAGGCTGATAACAAATGTTTATCCTCAGAGGATAAATATTAGATGCTCAGTGCCTCATTTTATGATACTAAGAGATTAAAGAGGCTGACCAGAGCAACACAAAAATGAATCAAAACTATATATATATTCAAGCCTCTGTGTCTGAGTGCACATGCACAAACACATGCAAATATAGGGGCTCATAGACCGTGTGCCGTTTTGAGTGGGTCAGCAAGACATGGTGCAAGAAGACATGGGCAAGATGCTGGGCAACATTTCAGTCTGTCACTTGGCCTAATAGAGAAGGAAATGCTTTATGTAGGCATTGTGACTGCTTACTACAGGGACTTCTGAAATAGTTCATAAATTGAGTACTTACACACAACCCCAGGAGGTCAGTGACCCACCTAGAGCCCTTGGTACCAGCCACTGCAAATGGGACAAGAATTTCTGAGCTGTGATCATCTCAGATTTCCTTAAAAAACCTGCAGTTAGTATCTAGTTATCAATGAGAAAATAGGAGGAGGGGGTGTTCTTAGTAGATCTGATCTGCTGTTGTCTAAGACACCAGCATCAAGGCTGGTTCCCAGCCCAGAAGGGGACAGAGCCCTTATGATATTTCCCAAAGGATTTTTCCTTCTTTCAAGTACCAGGCTGTACATTTGTTTTCATCAGTACTGATGCTTTTCCATAAGGGTTGCTATAATAGATCTTTTTCTTTAACTGTATTCCTGGCTTTAGGAAAAACCAAACTCAGTCAAATCCCCTTTCTGCTAGGGGGCTGTTGGCAATTTGTAAAGTTCAGAAGCAAGTTTTTCCCAGGCCAAAGATAATCCTCATATACAAACCATTAACACACCCAGACCAGGTTCTGTAATGCATTTGTGCATGAATTTAATTTAGGGCTCTGACATATATGATGGAAGTCAAGGGGACTATCTGCAATGTGAAAAATTAAGTCCAAATTTGTATTATCTTAAAAGAAAACCAAATTTGTATTATCTTAAAACACAATGTTAGGTAATAAAATTGTTTCTGTTATATGAGGTATAGAGTACCCAATGCTTTAAAAATTACTTAAAGAAACTCCTTGACTCAATTTATAATTTACCATCCACATTTTGCAGATTTATGAATCTGTCTGGAGTATGAATCAGCACAGAATACAGCTTAAGTAAAAAAAAATAATCTACATGCGGAGGAGAGAAGCAACTGGGAAGTTCCTCCTATTCTACTGATAAGGGATTACCAGACAGCAAACACCAATCAATACAGAAAGAGAGAGCAAGAGAAGTAGATGGTATGGAAGACCAGGAAGATGGAAGTAGTATGCAAGGGATAAAGAAAGTGTGAAAAGGAACAGATGAAATGGCTGCAGAGGGACCTATTGTAAAGAAAGAGTAGGCAGCTAGTAAAAGGCATAACAGTATAAATTAAGATGTAAAAATCACAAGTTAGCATGAAGAATATTTCACTGTTAAAGAAGAGGCTGTTCTTACCAGCCAACAGCACCAAGGAAAGGCCTGTGAGAGGGCTCAGGTTCTCTCAGGGACAACTAGCCGGCAGGGGATTTTGACCCTGATCTACAATCCCTGCCCCAAATCACAGGGATTACACTTGTGTTTGTTTAGGGTGCTTGGGAAGCAACAGGTCTGTGTCCTGGCCAAAAGGCTTGGCAGCATGAACCTCCCAACACACCGGGTCACCAAGATTTTAGTGAATCAAGGAAGCTTCTTTCACTTGAAAGTTTCTCAAACCTGGCATTTTGTTGGGATTCCTGTAAAGGCTGTTACTCATTGGAAAAAAACCAATCTCCTCCTCCCCCAAAAACCTCAACAAACAAAAAAATCTCAGACTTGAAGCATTTAAATGTTGGCTCTATTTTTTGCATGTACCTACATTCTAGCCAATAAATTTTTTCAAATACCTTGAGCTTGTGTTTGGTCTCTGTAGAAATTTAATCAACTGCTTCTAATTTTAAAGCACCGAATATTGCAGATACTTCCATCTACAAATTCCTGGATTAAAGAATGAATGGGGAAAAAAATAATAAAGAATATTTTTAAATCGAAAGCTTAAAATTGCACACTAATCTCTAAGGATTTGGAAGTATATTTGAGTCCCTGTTGCACCAGCTTTTTGCCCTGAGTGCAAGATAGCATTTTGGTTAAAAACCCGTCAGAGGTAGCTTTGATGATTCTTGAATGTTCTTAACTTTTTAAAGACTGATACCAAACTTAAAAAAATGTGGGTTTTAAAAATATTTTTAACTGCACAAAATGACAACTCATTTGGGAGAATAAATGCAAACCTTTACTATATTAAGAAATTATACAATGCACATACTATGTCAATAAATATTTTCTGTTGTTTTTCAGTCATGGTTATAGTGGTGTTACACAAACTTCATTCTGTAAACGCTTGTAGCAGGTTATCAATGAATCATCTGGGACATGGTTTTACAAGATATTAATGTCTCTTTAAATTTGTTCTGGGAAAAAACCTCCCTGTCTATTCCTGTCTTCAAGATAATTACTCCATGAGCAAATTTGATGAGTAAAAAAAAAAATTGGTTCAGCAAGGAAATGACTCACAGACTATGCCACAACTTATTAATTCTGAAATAAGTAATTAGTTCTGTTTCTGCTATTAGCTGTTGTTGTATTTTCTACCCCAGAGAGCTGTTGAACCGGGCCAAATTAGAAATGCGTAAAATATTATAATCTTGGTTCTCAGCATTATCTTAACTCTGTGCCCCTGAAACTGGTGCTGATTTGATCACTGACAGCAAGAGAAGAGATTTTGGCAAGGATGAGAGCTGCTGGAAATATTTAATGGAAAGTTTAGAAATTATTACAGCAGTGATTAGCAATGTGTCTAATACAAGTAATATTTAACAGGGGTCTGGCAAGGGTTTCCCTGCCAGCTCTGGTGGTCTTTAGACCGGAGAGGAGTAAGTGCCATGGGGGAATAAATAGGATCAACAGCTTCATCACCTGGACCAAAGTCCATTTGGGGATGGTAACAGGATCTAAGTAATTTAATTGCTGGAGTCTACTTTTTGCCACCTTCTGGGAGAATGTCTTGGTGCCAGATAAATGTTTCTCAGATTCTATCCGGGGAGCACAGAGGCCCAGGGGTGACAGCTGTGTCCTCTGCAGGCCATTCCCAAGCCACTGGCAGGGATGGCATTGCTCTAATGGAAGATACATTCCAAGACGTGCTGTGGGTCTCATTCCCATGGGCCCTGGAGGGCTTGAACTGGCATCCTATCCAAACATCTATTCAGCCCTAAAATGTTCCGATACAGCCCAGTTCCTTGCACAGATATTCTGTCATACTTCCAGTTCCCATCATCTTTAACAGATGCTCAGAAGGCCTTCACCAAATACCAGCAACTCATTTCCACCAAAGAAGTGGCATCTTATGCTAGTTATTAAGCAGGTATTCCAGATGAACCATTAATTCCTTCTACTTGGAATATGTCTCTAAGCTTGGATAATGGTTTACCCTTCAGCTGTAACTCCTAAGAAAAAAGATCAGATATACTGGAACTACACAAATATTTTACAAAGACTGTGCCTCTTGGCAATTATGTACACACTGTAGTTATTGCAGTTGCTATGGTTCTACTTCTTTTCCATGTGAAAACACTGGATGAAACCAAGTTGAGCTGATTTTCAGACAAATTACTCAGCTGCCCTTTGGCTGCAGTTGCAGCATTCTCCCACCCCTCCCCTCCCATTTAATTTCCAACTTTATGGATTAAATGCTGGTTTCAGCTTTGCTTAATGAAAGATAAAAGCAGCCAGGAGACAGCACAGGGCAAAGGACCCTTTCCGGCTGTACCTCTCCGTGGGCATTTTGAAGCAGGGCAGGCCCCAGAGGGAGAGAGGACAGGAGAAGGCAAAGGTGAAGACCATGATCAACAGTAAAAAAGCGCACTGCCTTACTGACTGGAAGAAAACATGATTTCTGTTTTTCCCTACAGTGAAAGGCAACCCTAGTTTTTACATACCTTTGCCGTCTCTTGATGATTAACTCATCAGCTAAATATTGTGCAGGAGTGAACCAAAACGCTCAGTGGTGGGGATACGACATGCCCTTGAATGCCAGCAGGGGCTTCTCCTCCCCAACACAAAAAAATCCAAAAGAATGCTAAATTACCCCGAAGAGGATTAACTAGTAATACAAAGGGGAAAAAAATATGTTTAAAGTAATCTCTAAGATGAGCCCCATATTTTTAGTTAAGTAAACCAGGGATATTTTGAAAAATATGTATGCATAAAGGCAAAGATTTTATAGAAATATATGGCATATGGGTTTTTCTGCCATGCCGTGCAGGATGTGAATGCATTCCAGAGCTGTGGTGAGTTACATGCCTGAAGAACACCAGTTGCTGTCTGCCTACTCACCATCTCCCCACAGGGGCAGGGGTTATTGTGCTACTAAACTCTTGATGTTTATTGTGAGTTTGGGTTCAGACCTGGTCTCCTTAAATGGTAGACATGAACAGAGGCTTCCAGGAACATGGCCCCTAACAATTTAGGTTTTTACACATTTTGCTGTATGTATCAATGGAGGATGTCTGAAGTAATTTTTTAATAATGGGAGGTTGAAACCAGCAACCAAACAAAAATTGCATCACATTCTCCTCTCATTTACCATGGTTAATGTTAGAGGGAAATTTGACCCACCGCATATTTTATGTATTTACTTGTTATAGAGTGTTATACACTAGGCATTTATGATCTGTAAAGAGGTTTATTTCTTTTAGAAAGAAATAAAAAGGAAGCCAATACTCAAAAGGAAAAGTAGCTTTGACTGTTCAATTTAGATATGATACTTTATTGCTTGTAAATTAACCTGTTACAACAGTGATCTGCAAGCAAGTAATGCTGCTTATACAACTGACATCCTTGAGTCCTACACTTCTTGCTTACTGATTGCTTCCTTACTGGTGGGACTAAATAAAACCAGGCATCTGTGCAATGACCCATGTGAGGTAAGTTTTCAGTACATACTGGGAAAACTGTGTCCACAATCTTAAAAAAAAAAATACAGTTGCCACTAATTGTATTTTATTATCTTTAAACTGGTAGAGAATTGTCTTTATGGGTTATGACTTTGGAAGCAGCTTTTGCTTGGTTATTATGATGTGCAAATCCATGGTACACCATGTGCACATACACAAGGAGGGGCAGTTTTAAACTTGTTTTCAGCTTGAAGGCTCTGCAGAGATTGCATTAGCTGTCTCCAGCTACAAGCATCAAAGAAATGCCATAGAGTATTTGTGTGGTTCTTCTCAGTTTAGCCTTCACCTTTTCATCCTTCACATTGACGACATCAGTTTTGCCCCCAGCTTACGCCCTACCCATTTATCATCAGGCTAATGAAGCACGTTTTCTGGATTTTCTTTTGCATATAGGAAAGTATACATACAGGCCACTTCTGAACTTGCTGATGTGCTTTTTACACCTTGATGCTATCCCTAGGAATTGTTTTTCATGCCTTTGTCTCTTATCTTATGGCAACTATTTTTATAGTGGGGAAAGGTCCTGGCTCTCACTGCTCGAGTAATGTATGGACTTGATATTGCTGCTCCCCACCAGCACAGCTGGGAAACATGTGCCTTGGACCCTACAAGCAACAGACTCCTTTGATTCCCTATTCACTTCTGAGTGTTGCGTCAGACTGCTTTCCTTATTTTTCTAACAGCTTTACGTCAGGCGTGCACACAGCCGAGGGATGAAGGCAACTAGGGACTAGGGAACCTGCAGGCCCAGACCCCCTCCTCCCAATACTCCTGTCGCTGAGGTACAGGCTCAGACATCTCTTGTCCTGTGAATCTCATGCAGTGCCTTTCCCATCACACGGAGCATACCCTGCCATCTCATCCTGTCGCATCCCATCCCAAACTCCCTTCAGGAAAGGAAGCTCCTTGACTGAGCAGGTCAGTGTCAGAGCTGCCCCGGTGGGAGGGCTCCCTGTAGGGCTCACCTTGGCTCCCCTTGCTCCAACCTCTCCTTCAGTGCCTCAGTTGACCAGAGCATCTTTACAGTCCCACTTGCCCCTGCTTCCTCGGGGTCCTGCCCTTTGGAGCAGGGCTAGCCTCTCTCTCTGAACTTCAGCTATTTTTAAGGTGCTGTCTGCAACTTCATCTTATGCTACCCTGGGTTCTCACTGTTGCTAATTCCACTTTTAAATTTTTTAAATTGTGCCCACTTTGGGGTTTCACCTCATTTTTCTACTTAAACTCCAAACACCTAACATTAAATTTAAAAAATAATGCCTGGTGCTATACAGTGAGGAACTTGGCTTTCCATCCAAGAGAAACCGCTTCAAAGTGCTATTAAGGTAAGCTGCAAACAGAAAACTAAAAGCAAAATCACTGCAAGCAAACCAGGGTTCATAGCTCCAAAACAATGCATTGAATCTGGAGCCAGCCTTGAGAAACACTTTCATAAGCTCTGAGTCAATGTAAATGCAGGCTGCCAGCTGAAGGAGTGATCTTGTGACGTCCCTTACAAAACAGTTCCAGGCTGCCCTGACAGCTCTTCTTGGTGTGGATGCTGACTGAGGTAGAGGTCACAGGCTCTGGACCCCAGCAGCAAGCATGGAGTTTAATCTCCTAGACACATCCTACTCTCCAGGGGAAGTTTATTTAATTTTACTGAGTTAACTGACTGCAAAAAACCCAGTAATTTGATGCTATTAATCAGATTATACTAACTGGTCTGTAAACAGCTCCCATAGCCTTGCAAGATCCACTAGAATAACAGTTTCAAGCAAAAAGTGAATGATCCC